AACCCACAAAAATCATCTTTGCACTACAAATATGACTGCGAATAAAAGGTAAAATAAAAGTGTTTCGAATTTACCTCCTTCCAACGACTTATTGCTCGAATTTCTTGCTCACTTCTGAAATCAAATGGCTGCTACTTATTCACGCTTGGGTTGGGCTCTTTGAGTGGTCAACAATGACGAGTAGGAGCTTCGATTATCTCGATTTGGGGATCGTTTAGAGGCAGTTTAAAGGTGATGGAAGGGGAAGAAGGAAGCCGGAAAATTTCAAAAAGTTGAGAAGGGTATTATAGTGGTGAAATTAAGGAAAAATGGTGAATTTTGAGTTAATAGGTGAAGGGGCAATTTTGTCATTTTTACCATTTTATGACATTCTTAGTTTTATTTTTATTTTAAATATGAGTCAAAGGCCTTTTGTCCAAATTATTAGTTGAACTTGGCTGTCTGGCCAAATTTTCCAATACACGATAGCGGGACTCATAGATTATAAGTCAAATAAGTTATGGATTTCCAATGTAGTATCCCTTGACAAATTTATAAATGATTTATAAAGAGAAATAGTGGTCTATCTCACGGACGGTGTCGATAATAATGGTAGTGGTCATGAACATGTTTGGAAGCTTACCAGTCTTATAAGCTGCGAGACCAAAATTGTAAGTTGTTTATATATATATTGTCAAAGATGCTCTAATTAGTGTTATACTGTAGTGTACTAATAGTATTTCCTACAAAGTTTTGAGTTGTCAATGAAGATGGAAGTTTGGAGGTGAATGTACCATTTTGTAGAACTAGGAGAAGTTAAAATTCGACAAACCACCTTCGCCCCGTCGGGGTACATATATGCCAAGTTTTCTAAATCAATGCCTCATCTAATCAACAATCATGCTACATTGTCAGAAAGTTTTGCCCACTTTCTTGACATTAAGTCACAGGGCATTCTATCATTAGATTGTTTAAAAACAGTCAATTTTTGTATTCAATCATCTTCTGCCAACACTGCATGTATCAAATAGGTAGACAAATTTTTCAGTTAAAGTAGCTTAATTCTCTGACGAATATCATTGTTAGAGGTTAAATGCTTGATTTTAAGGAATGGCATGTGAGGAAGTAATTAGGTCATACCTTAGTGGTCGACCTCCACTTTATTCGGTGCTTGACCTAGGGGCACCTAACCAAGGACATAGGACGGGAGGCGCTTTGACATAGGGGCACCACCTCTATATCACAAGTGATTAGTCATATATGTCTTTATGTACTCAAGTGTATTTATATTTTTAAGTTTTCTGCAGTTCAGCTCTAGTAACCAGATTTAGTTGAACTTACCCAAGTGGTTTGCATTCAGGAAATATGGGTAAATAGTGTACAGTGTCATCTTTAGAGCCTCTTGGTTTGTTTACCGTGTCACCTGACATCAACATGAAGTCGTCGAGTAGTTTCATTTTTGAATATGTTGTTGGGACATTAATGTCTGTTAGAAGGTAGTTGTACGATTTTTCAGCACATGTGCAAAATTGGCTGACGAAGTCACAAGGCCCATAACTTGAAAATATCAAGTGCATTTAACTGGGGACGACACTATTAAACATGATTTTTACTGGGTGCATGGATTAGTTGGAAATGTTGGAATTATTCAAATTATCAATAAGAAAATGATACATGAATAATCGACTTTGCTTACTGTTTTAAGCAATCGCGCGGTATACTCAGGTGGTTTCTTTGCTATCGAAAAGCATTTATGAGTACTATTCCCTCCAAATCCTTATCTTTGACTTGGGTGGATATTTTAGCTGTTGTGAAATTCAGATTCTGGCAAATAAATGCTTGCTGAAGGATTTTTCATTTTTTATTTTTTTCTGTGGAGACGAAGAGTAATGCTATTTAACCTCATTGGAGTTACAATCTCAATTTAAGTGACGCTGGATAATAGGTTAAATGAAAAGTAAAATTAAATGATACGCCGTCTAGACTGAAATTGTAACCTCGGTGAGGCTAAATGAGATTATTTGACATCAGAATGGTTCTTTGATTGCTTGGCCGTGATAATTCATCGAATGATTGAAAGTGACTTAAAATAATCTGATTATAATTTGTTGGACAGATTGATGAAGTAGAAAATAATTTGAGGCTTTGTAGATGAATCCTTTGACCGCATTTAATACACTGAGTCTCCCTCCACTTGGAACATGCTCCACTTATGTCGGAAAGTAGTAAAGAGATATGACTTTAATTAGATAGATGTGGGGATATGGTGGTGAGAATATATAAATTTAGCCCTGGTTTGAAATTTGGTTTTTTTTCAAAATTGGTTTTTTTCGTATTTATTTTTACTTATATATATATGCTTCATTTTTTTAAAAAAAATTGTACATTCTTCAAAAAAGAACATTTTTCATAAAATAATTTCTCGAAAAATCGACTCACATAACGGTTAAATTTTAATGTTTTTCTAAATTTTAAAACAATAGATTTTGAAAATAAAAGTTTCACACCAAGTGTGAAATATGTAATATCCTCTTATTTAATTGTATGTTAGACAAAATTGTAGGTATCATGAAGTGTGTATAAAAATAGAGTTTGATCGATTTGTAAGCAATTATAAGTTTTAACAAACATACATACGATTTGCATTAATAGCTAAACTTAACCCTAAACTTTACCTTGAACTCGAGAAGGCTGAATTAAAATGAAAATTGTGATTTAGTTCTAGTGTGAACTTGATTTTTTGAGAACTGATTTTGTAAAGAGTAATGATATTTATCCTCATTGAAGTTAAGTATCAGTATAAATGGTAATTACATAGTATTAAATGATAGATTTATGTACATGTAAAGTCACATAACTCATTTAACTGAATCTATAAAGTGTGGTTGCTCAAGTCCATTGAAGATGATTAGCATTAATGTGATTTTTTTAAGAATGTGTGGTTAAAATATTGGGATGATTGGTGCAACTCCAGAAAGGACTTGGGAATGAAGAACTTTATGGAGGAGTTTTTACTTGGCATTAAATGTTTCTGAACATGAAAATCCTGAGAGGAATTGTGGTTCTTTACTACCCAGACCGTACTCCACGTTGCTTCCTCAACACCTGTCCCCGCCATTAATGGTCCTTCTATTTTCTGTCACTATTGATTATAAGTGCTTACAAGTGGGAGTTTGCCAAATTTCGAAAAAAAAATAAATAATAATAATAATAAATTTTGATAAAAGTTGATCAAATATATGATTATAAAGTTAATAAAAATTGCGAGTCTCATGAACATGATGTTAACAATGAAATTTAAACAGTTGATAGAATTTTAACAAATCAAACAAGATCTAATTTAGTTAAATTCTATTTCTATCTAGCGCTTGTCTAGGGCACATTTTGGCCAGATTTTAATTTTTTTTTTGACCATTTAAAAGGATAGTGAGACCTAGTTTTGCAGTTATTACTCACAAATTATCGGAATTGCCATTTTATAAAGAAGAATGAATTTTATGTGAGAACACACATTAGTAATTTTACTTAATTCGGTAAAAAATAACGGTCGCCATCATTGACACAATGTATAACGACATGAATTTGGCTAAAATTTTGATACAAAATGTGCCCCAGGCAAGCGCTATTATAATTGCTTACAAATTGGTCAAATTATATTTTTCTCTACATATATCGAAGGACATATATTTTTAACCTATTTTTTTTAACCACACTCCTTGAAACTTATTGCTTACAAGTACTTATAAACTTAGCCAATTAAACTTAAACAAGCTATTCAATTCAATCAAAAATAGGAAGAGCATACAAATTTCAAAATAAGCTCATGTTTTGTGGATATTAAAATCAAAATTTCAGCAAATTTCGATAAAATTCGATGAAATATGTAATTAAAAATTTGTGGGACCCATTAAATATGTAATTAAAATTAGTAGACTTTGATTTTTATAAAAATCTAGATTATATTTTTTTTATCAATCATGGACTTTAATATATTTTTGAAATCTGCTGCATGTACAGAAGCCATGCTTCTGTAAATGCTGCCAGACACTCACAACATGTGGGGGGGGGGGGGGGGGGTTTTTGGCCTTTTTTTATTTGATTTGAGCTGTGCTGCATGCTCAGAAGCAATGCTTCTGTACATGATGCCAGACACTCACAACATGGGGTGGGTGGGTGTGATTTTTTACCATTTTTTATTCAGCGTGGAGCCCACCATGTGAGTATCTGGATTCATATGGTAGATGAATAGTTCTGTACAACAAGAATAATTCTATATTTTTAGAGAGTGAATGATATGAATGCATGTATTGTGTGTCCTTCCATAATTGAAGGAGGGTTATTAAATGCTATCTGCATTTACTCCAACCACTATTCCTTGTTGGCTCACATCTTTAAACAATTAACCCTATTAGTCCAACTATCAAAAAATATTAAGAATATTTTAAAGTAAAATATCCTACGAATTTAAAAAGTTCAAACAAGCAACTCGATAAAATTGAATATCAAAATTGATGTACAAGATGAGTTGTCATCTTTTGAAGCATCTTAAAATGTAAATTCCCATATTACTTTATAAGAAAATAATAGGTTAGCCTTTCAGTATGGTAAAGTTTACATAGCTCAATTGAGCAATTTAATTCGTTTATAGTTCAAACGAGTAGTATTCAAATTCAAGATTGATATATGAAACGAGCCACCATCTAACCAGACATGTTTAACTTGGCAGTAAGATGGTACACTTGAGAACGCATTGAATGCACAATTTTCTTTTTTCTTATTGAATCAATCATTCAATTTCCTCAAAATTTTCCATGTATCTCTACACTACTTTGAAATGTCTTTTCACATTTATTATAGAGAGCTTCAAGTTCTCACGTCTAGTAGTCTCTGTTCATTTCAAGTCATTCAAGCAGAGTAAAAAAAAAACACAGTGAGTGCGTGTTTTGTGTGTGTTCATACTCAAAATCATCAATAGAAAAACAGACACATACAGTGGGTAGTATTTATTTGTATGTGTGTTAATGGGGAGAAAACCGTGTTGTGAAAAGAAGGGGCTGAAGAAAGGGCTGTGGACGCCGGACGAAGATAAGAAATTGGTTGAGTATATCACCAACAATGGCGGCCATGGCAGCTGGTGTTCCCTATCAAAACTTTCAGGTTCCGTTGCTTTCGACTGTGTCACTTAATTTTGTGCAAATATTGAATTAATGGATCAATACTCAAATATTGCTAATAGGAATGCGTTATTTTTAGCATGTTTTGTCTCTGTGTAACGTGCAAGATGTTTCGTATTGGACATGACTTGACAATATTAAAGGAGTAACGTTATCATAAACGGTTCTTACTAATAAGCAGTGATGTATTGAGTCCCAATTTGGTTCAGCTAAAAAAATAATTAATTTTTTTTGTCATGCTATCGAGTCCTGTCCATTATTTGTACCAAACACGCACTTAGTACTCTTCAAATGTTGTGATGAAATTGTGGAGAACAACAATCTCAAAGTTGAGAACCTTTTCAACGTGGACGATGAAACACGACGTGTGCAACGGGAGAAATTTCCAAAAACTACTAGCTGTTGGAGTTCTCAGCGATTCACTCAAACCATATTTGTAAAACGAGTTAAAGTTAAAATCTTGTTCGTTATTCTGCACAGTGATCTAGTTTTTCTCTTCTTGAAACAAGTCTAAGAATCTCTTTCTTTTTAGAACAGTTTGAGCACTATTAAAATAATTGGCGGATGGCAGTGTCACGTTTTTCGTTTTGCAGGTCTTCTTCGTTGCGGGAAAAGTTGCCGGCTTCGTTGGATAAACTATCTTAAACCAGACATTATACGAGGTCCCTTTAGCTCTGAGGAAGAGAAGCTTGTTATAGAATTGCATGGCATTCTCGGAAACAGGTTCCCACTCTTATTAGCATTTGTTATTAGCATGTTTGGTTAGGTGGATTGGACATAAACTTTGACAATTTTTTTACCGTAATTTTTTGGGGGAAATCCTAATTTTGAACTGGTCAGATGGGCGGCCATTGCATCTCATCTACCGGGAAGAACAGACAACGAGATCAAGAACTTATGGAACACCCATCTGAAGAAGCGTGTGCTTAAAATCGGCATTGATCCTCAAACTCACACGCATTCCTTGACGTCCAATGGATCAGAGGAAAGATGTCCATCATCTCCCTCTACACTACACATGATACAATGGGAGAATGTTAGGCTCGAAGCCGAAGCTCGTCTCTCAAGAGAAACACTACTCTTGATCCCACCATCAATTGGAAAAAAGGATACCGACTATTTCTTACGCTTGTGGAATTCCGAGGTTGGAGAAGCATTTCAAAAATTCGACAAGGGCAACAAAACTGCTTGTCAAAGTTCAGTCTCGATTTCATCAACAAAGCACAGATCAATATCAGGAACCACGACAGAAACGTGTCTGATTCGAACAGGTTCATCGGATGATGCAGACTGCAAGAACAGCAAAGTGTACACTGAAGATGTCTTCTTGCCAAAATCGGATTCCACGAGTTCTAAAGAAATGGAGGATTCGTCCGAATCTGCATTGCAGCTGCTACTGGATTTCCCTAGTAACAATGATATGAGTTTCTTGGAACATTCTGATAGCTATAGCCTATATCCTGCCATCTTCAATGAAAGATTCTTAAACTGATCTCTTAAGGATAAAGAATCTTTGCTGGGGGTTTTTGTGTTCCAGCTTTAGAGGAATGTCGGGGAACGAGTTGTGCGGCCAATGTATGAGGGATATTTGGTCCACAATATTCGATTGTACAAGACCTTTTCTCGTTAATCTATCCAATCCGTGCATGTTTAAATTATATCTTTAAGAATAGACACCAAATTCTTGGTTCACATGGTGATCAGCCGAAGAACCGCCCGTATCTTCCCGTCACTCTAATATATTTCATGAATCATTTAAGCCTCTCTGATTTCACTTAGCTCTGTCGCCGTATGCGACTATCCCTTCAAAAGGCGAAACTCTCGTTGTAGTTTGGCAACCTGAGGAAAAGTGAAGAGTGTGGAAAAGTAATTTTTTATTTACAGAAGGTACTAAATACAAAAACATCAAACGAATTTCTAAAATGAAAATTTGCAGAAAAAGAATACTACAATTAGCAATTGATCTCATTTAGTGCTATTGTGTTAATTTCTCAATTTGTATTTAAGCCAACCTTGAGCCCAAATCAATCCTATCATTTAGAAGCTACCAAAATTTAGAAATGAATTGTTATCATTCTTGTTGCATGGTTTGTACCCTCTCTATTTTTCTGTTCTACAGAAATCACACAATTCTAATAAAAGAGATTATATTTTGGTCGAGCATGCTAAAGGTACAGGAATTCAAAATCCTGTACCTGCCAGAACACACATAGCAGGTGTGGGTGGGTGGGATTTTTTGCCAATATTTTAATTCACATGTGGCCCACCCCATGTGAGTGAAATTTGAATTTCTATGTGAATTTCTGTTATTTTTCCCTATACGCACAGTTTTTTTCATTTTGGTCTATACAAGACAAAACCTAACCACTTGCGTCATCATATTCGAAATTTATCCTCAATCGATGTCTTCCATAATTATTAATATATGAGAACAACGCATATCCAATGTGTTTGAAAGATACAATTTCAAAATTAAAAAAAAAAATTGTTTTAAAATTTCAAAAATCAGGTCATAATTAAATAGACAATTAAATATTATTAATTAAATATATTAATGTCACAATATTATACAGTTTATGGTCACAATTATGTACTAATCAAAACCACAAATTTTATAGATCACAACTTATTTATCGATCATAAATTATCAAATTAATTAATTACGCATTATTTTTCAATCACAAATCACCAATTTTATAGGTAACAATTTATTTATCGATTACAAATTATCAAATTAATATGCACGAATTTTTTGTCAATCACAAATCAAAAATGTTATAAATTACAACTTAACAAATTGTGAGTCACGATTATAAATTTAGTCGCAATCTCATATTTTTTAGGTCACTTTTTATTTATTGGTCACAAATTATCTATTTTATCGATCGCATATTATTTATTGATCACAAATTAATCAATTTATTGGTTACATACACTCAAATAATTGGTATCAAACACTCGCATCCCCATGCCAACCAACCTACCCCTACCCCCAATCCCATCGACACCGCCTCATCACTACCACTAGCACCACCATTACCTACACTACCACCATTTGTGACCACCATCTTACTCCCACCACTTGCACAATCGTCGCCTGCATCACAACCACCTTACCATCATTGCCAGCACCACTACCACCAATCGCAAACCTCAACAAAAACGACCCCAAAACTTTAGATAAGCAGTAGATTGAAAGAGGAAGAAACAACCCCCAAACCATAACACGGTGCTAAGCCCGACAACACTCGTGATCTTCAGGTGGTCTTTGATGGTGATCTTTCACGCGCGCGCGCACGCGTGAGAGAGAGAGAGAGAGAGAGAGAGAGAAAGGGGATATTTTAGGGTTTGTGAGTTAAATGGGGGTCGGGTGGTAGATTAATTTAATTTTATAAAATCAATATTAATATTTAAAAGTTGAATTGTTACCTATTTTTTTAATAAAAAACTTTTAAACTTGATTTTTAAATTGAAAAGTTAAAAAATTATGTGTGTGAAAATGATATATTTTGATTTTTTTCCCCTATATTCATGGAGATGAGTCAATAGCTACTAAGAAGTCTCACAAGTACAAGATTTTGTTTGGTGTACAGAACCCCGATAAACACTCGCGTGAGAGGGGGTGGGGTAATTTTTTTATTGAGGTGGATCCCACACGGGGACCCACCCCATGTGAGTGTCTGTGAGGGTTCCGCTGAACCCTATCTGTACACCCAAGCAAAACCCTACAAGTATATTACCAAAATATCCAAGAACAAATAAAGCTTAGTCCAAGATGTCTTGATCATTTAATAGAAATTGAAACTTTTCTTGTCTTTTTTTCATGGGTTAAATCATCAAAATGGGACCGCCACGAATACTTATCTTTGCAATTTTTCCAAAAAGAATGAAAAAGAAAAATAAGTTATGGTGGTTAGAATGGTAGAATGGCCCATCAAAATTATGTCAAAGGTCAATTTCAGTGATAAAAGGCTATAGAATAGTAGAATGGCCCATCAAAACATGTCAAATGTCAATCTCAGTGATAAATCGCATTCTCCATCAGCGTTTTATGCATAAAGTTGACTAAGACATTTTTAAGATTTTATTTTTTCCCTGACATTCTTATTTTTAACTTTTCATTAATTAATGCATAATTATCTAATAAGCATTATTCCAAATGTAAAGAAGAATTTTTCACATAAATTTTACACCCCTTCACATGTGTGGGGCACACCAGAATAAAAAATGAAAAAAAAAAGCATAATTATCTAATAAGCATTATTCCAAATGTACAGAAGAATTTTTCACATAAATTTTACACCCCTTCACATGTGTGGGGCACACCAGAATAAAAAATGAAAAAAAAAAAAAATCTACTAAAATTTTAATTTTTATCTCCATCAAACAGGAGCTTAAATTATTTTTGAAATATCACATGGGCCCACTCATCTAATAATCCATCATATTTTGCTACAAAACAATATATATAAATGCAAAAAACAATTTTTCTTTTGTTTCAAAACACGGGAATAGAATATTTTGATGGAAACAATCATCAAAAGATATACTAATTATTGGAAAGTTGAAAATAAAAGTTCAACAAGAATGTTAGGAACATAAATTCTACAATGAATAAAAGTTGGGGGACCTTAAAGTGCAATCAAAGTGAGATACAACGAGTAAAAAAATTGCAGTGTAAATATAATTATCCATACAGTATATAAGCATTGCTTATCGAGCATAGTATTTATTTACATGGAAAAGTTTAAAGAACTCAAAAAAATCATGGAACAAATTTTGTTTTGTTTGTTTGTTAGGGCAATGACTTGAGTACCTTTGATATATGATTGTGGCTCTACACAAATTTGTGGTCTCGGAGTTGGTTTATTGTGTGCTATCTCAACCAACTTTGCAAATATCATAAACTATTTAAATTAAGAAGACCATAATTGTTATAAATATTAATTTAACTACAAGTGTGAATTTTAGAATTTATTAATTATTTGAAAATGCACGACTTCGATAGAGAGGAGTCAACCTTTACAAATTAAAAATTTGTTATTTTTTAAAAATATTTCCATTTATTATTTATATTATTATTGCACAATGTGAAGTGTGAAGGAGTTAAAATTCGCTGTCCATTTTTTGTTGTTCATCCAATTAATTATTGGCACGTCATTTTAAATTAATATATCATCAATTTGGTGGTTTAGTGGTGAAATTAATGAGGGTAAATTTTAGATGATGTATTAATTTAAAAATGTGTCAATCATAAATTGGGTGAACAGCAAATCTCAACTCGTGATGAAAATGTTGAAAGTGAGGAAGATACTTTTTTCTACATTGAAATTAGGACAATTTTTGAGTTATAAAATATTGGCTATCGAAGGAAAATCTTTTTTCAAAAAATATTCAATTTTTTTTTTATTTTATTTCCTCACACGGAAAGAAATTTTTCGTCAAAATATAAATTAACACATACTTAGGATTTCTTGTGAAAGTATGTACTCATTTTTAATCACGTATTATAAGAATAATCCATTTTCACGTTTGTCAAAGAAATGTTAATCAAAATCAAAAATTATTTTTAAAATTACCCTTATTTTATTTAAGATAATTAATTTTTGAAATGATAAGATGTTACTTTTTCTTGAAAACACGTCTCTAAATATATTTAGATCGATCGGTGCATGATGGGAGTATTGAACTTTATCGTGTGTATATAATGCCCCTCAAGTGCAACGTGTGTTGAAAACTTTACCGATATATTCCATGCTCTCTACGAACACGGGGTAGATGTTAATGTTGTGATGGCCCGAATCTTCCTTCCCTTTCGTAGTTTCAAAACTTGGCTAAAGATTGCGGCCTATGTCGGCATGGAACTGCCAAAATATGTGGTCGGGAAGAAAAACAGTTAAAAAGATTTATAATCATATTTTCATCCTATATTTTCTTATAAGTAATTCTAATTCACTTTTAAGCTCAGCCAATCATGCTTAGTTAATTTAACATATACTAGAATCCAAACAACGTTACACAGAAAAATCGAGAATACAACAGAAACTGACAAACATCCAAGAATATGTTGGCAGACTTTTCAACCATTATCTATCCATATGTACCGAAAAAAATACATACACAGAATACACACAAATAGGTGGTCCTCCCTTTTTTACAATAATTAATTCACATGGACTCATCCATGTGACTATCCGTATTTTTTCTGTATTAGCAGAAAAATTCAACCATTAATTTGCTTGTTCCTTGAATATTCACTCAAAGACTAATTTCTTTGAACCTTGCTGCTCAAAGATTGACTCAAGACAGTTGGAAACACGTATCAATACGTCCATCGCACCATATCGCCCCCTCCCAATCAGCAATACCGTCCTGCCACCACACCTGTCACCCCCTCGCCGCCGCCGTCTTGTTTTGTTCTTCTTGACATTTGAGTCTGATAAAGAAAAGAATATCATTTTTTCCTAAGCTTTTTGTTGATTTTTCAGTCGG